TAATGATATGAATTTTGAACAACATACTCTATTGTTGTTCTGCCTTGATTTCCGCGTGAACAAAGTTTAAAGAGCTGTAAAGCTATTTTCCCTATTTTTATTAACATTTACTCCATGATGATAAGCAAGTTAACAAAAGTATAAATTGTGCTTCTTTTATATAACTAAAAATGAATATTTTTCGGGTTATTAATTATTTTAATTCAGTCCGTATCTGAACGCATTTCTTCAACTGACAGCTATTATGTTAGTATGTTCGCTATTGATGGAATAATCACTTTCCGCGCTGTTCGAACATGTATAGCTTCTTGTAAAAAATACAAGAACACGCTGTTAATTATCTGTCGTGCATGTTGCTTTTGCTGTTTTACTCCTATTATATAATAAATAAAAAATGTAATGGCAAGTGTATATACTTCCAAGTCGATTGAAAGCGTCCGGTCTGTACCAAAGTCAAAGAGCAACTGAATAAAAATCGACGACGGCCGAAACACGAACTTTGCCGAGGGACATTAAGAACATAGAAGCACTGTAATATGATTCGCTAAGTGTGGTGATACCCGAACAAAACGCGCGTTACAGAAACGACACATTGATTGATATTTATAAAAATGAATTGTACTTATGCGTATTACGTATTCCTTATAGTTAGTAATAGATTTCTCTCCTTGTTGCACTAGCGTAATTGAATGGGTTAGCGATTTTTTGAAGACTATACTGCCCTCGTTATCGTAACTACCGTAATCTACAATGTTAGCGAAATCAAGGCTACAACCCCCGCGTGCAAATTTTAGCTAGCAATTTTGATTTGTAACAAATTTGACTGAAGAAATAGACTAAATAAACAACAATGAATATTAACACTTTTGGGGTGACAATTGTGACAGTTTTTCTACTTCTCACACACGGAGTCACATGATTTTTTGTATGAGAGAACGTATATGTGATGTGATTCTATATAAATCAATTCTAAAAGTAATTCTTCCCTAATTTTCTTTTTTTTTTATGACGACGGGACGAACAAGTCGTGCGCCTGGTGGTAAGCGACACGCCTATCCATAGCAGTTGCAGTGCCACTCAGAGCTTTAAATAATGACACTCCAAAGATAGGGATAGAGACGTGTGATCACGTAATTAGGGGAAAGAATGCTACATACCAACTGGCCACCTTGGATTCAATTGACAAGCGTGCCAAGACGCTTATAGGTGACTCAGAATAAGCAGAAGCGAAGCTGCAAAGCCTTGAACACCGTCGTAAAGTTGCCTGCTAAGCGGTATTCTACAGGATATCTCACGGAAAGTGTGCGAGAGAATTGCACGAATGAATTCCGCTTTCCCCTTTCCATCTTTGGGAGACCAGGCGTAGGCTGGGGTTCCACCTCTATGTTGTGGATATTCCAAGAATTCGCAGGAAGCGTTTCGTTTCCACATTTATATGGCGAACGGCCATGGAATGGAATTCCCTGCCTGCAGACTTGTTCCCTGAACTTTACAATTTGAACCTTTTCAAGGCGAGAGTGACTAGGCATTATTTAGGCGTGCACTCCATCGTCAACTTCATCGTCACTTTCCATCGGGTGAGAAGGAAGTCAAATGCACTTAGTTTTTAAAAAAAATGAGAAAAAAAAGTCTATTAATTTATAAGACGGATTAGAAATTCATCATTTTTGGTTTTGATTCCTGGTGAAAAGTTGTATCATTGATAAGTCATAGCAATAATTATAAATAGAAAACTACCGTGATAGTCAGACATAATTAACTAAACTAACGGATAATTTAATTTAAATCGCAAAGATCTGTAAGGCACTGCCACAGCGCCAGTCACCCTAAGACATAAGTTGATAAGACCATGTGCCTGTAATTTCACCAGCACCCTTACCCTCCAAAACCAGAACGCAGTAATGGCCACTACTATTTGGCGGAAGTAGATAGGTGGCAGAACTTCCACAGACGAAATCACATGAAGCTCTACTACTACTAAAAACTCGTTCGCTGTTTTGGAAGGATTGTATTTATTTCGAGATCTACAAAAGGCTCCAATAATAATACCGTTGCCGTATCAAAGTGTCTCTGACACGACAATTTTACCAGAAATTTAAAAAAGTCTACTTTCTATAAACATTTGTGGTCACAATAAAAAAATGTACAAATAAGTCTATCACCGCAAAAGTGTTGTAACCCATTTTTTTCTACAATATTAGTTTAAATATTATTAGACAACAACATCACTCACGTTGCTATGATGCCAAAGTAAATAACTAAAACACTTGTGTTATGGAAATCGGAAACAATGACGGTACCACAGACTCATTGATCCGATTGGGGATCGAATCTGGGGCCTCAGAAATGGCGACACCATGAAAACCGGTGTGCAAGTAACGTGATCACGACCACTAAATGACACTAAAGTAAATAATTATTATGTATTTTAATGATATTTTCACGTATACAAATAATTGGTAATTATACATTTTGTATATGAATACTTTTACGTTTTTTCTTCTACATTTATTTCATGGGGTTACACCGCTTTAGCGCTGATAGCCATAAGTATTAATTAATATTATTGGGTCCTTTAGTTACAATATTTGGATTAAAATTTTATAAATTTAGTGTAAAAAACCATCACAGAAGTATCGCTCTAAATCACTTCTAAACATTAATAAATTGACTTAAAACAATGAAGGTACATTACAGAATGTCTGATAAACACTTTAAAAATTGTTTTATACATTCTACAGTTAACATGCAACAATTTTGTCGCAAGAATTTCAAAAATATATTGATACAAAAGCAATTAAATATGCAGATCATAAAAGTAATTATTGAATTATAATGTAAATTTGTTTTAGTATAAAAAAGCCTAGAAAAATAGTTATAACAAAAACTTTATAAATATTGGTGAAAAAAACACATATATCAGTCCCTGTAAAACTCTATACAGCAGGCAGCTATATTGCTAACATGAAACCAATAACTCAAGATTACTGCTAATCGCCTTACAAGACAACGTAGTCGGGTATTTAGTATCCATTGGTACAGCAGATGTCGCGACGAGTATTCTACAAATAGCTATTTTTGTAAGTAATTTGTTTTACATTGACAAACTGCAATTTGTTACTCTCGTTTCTAGTGCTAACAAACAAAACAAGTAGATGGCGCTTATTGCACAGATTTTATGGACACTGCCGGCTATTCTTTTATTTTGTCTAGGATTAGCGGCCTCTACCCATATTAGGAGGCGTTAATTTATAAATTAGTTTGTAACACACACTGCCATCTATTGACACGCGTATTTCGACTCCTCCTATGCGAAATATCGTATGACGAAATTGCCAAGTTTACAGAGAAGCGTTAAGATTTGAATTCACTAAAATGAGTATAACACGCGACTTTAGCACAGAAATGCTAAATTAAATTGTAAAATGATAAAATAAATTGTGGTTATGATTTTATATTACTCTGTATGAGTTTTGGCGAATAAAACTGAGAAATAAAGTCACATGTTACGCTCATTTCAGTGAATTCAAAACTTTAAAACGCTCCCCTGTAAACTTGGCAATTTCGACATACGATACTTTACGTAGGAGGGGTCGGTTTGTCAAAGTTCTGAGAATAATTTTAACTCATGATTTGAATAATATTATAAGGGAAAATAAAGTGCCATATATCTCATATACATCATGTATATTATTATATGCAAATTAGCAAAGCTACACTAAATTCCAGTGATAACAAATAAATCAACTAGATAATAAAAATTCATTCAATAAAATAATTTGTAAAATTTAATGTAGCGTAAATTGGAATCTTTTCTTTGTAAAATTAAAAATAAGGTATTTAATTAATAACTATTGTAACTATCGTGAAAAAATAGGGTGGTTTGCATTAATATTAGACATAACTGGTTGAAGACTGTACCACCTCAGTCAACCGTGACCATGGGACCTGTAAAGGGCCCGAAGCGTCGGTTTGTTTGAAAAAACAAATATACGCGATTTAAATCCGAAAAAATAGTTTCATTTCCTATCTGTAACAATTGCGAAAACCTAAGAACTCGATATCTAATCTTAGACTTTATTATTAGTTATGTCGGTAGTATAGAGATTGGCAGTCATCTAGGCTATTGGTCCGTGATTCCATGTAGCTTTTTTATAATTAGCAAAATGATATTAACTACGATTATCTACTGCAACATGGCTCCGCAACTTGTCTATCGTGGTGGCTATTGTGTCACTGCTATAATTCAATCTGTCAACCTTAACATTTACAACCCAGAAATAAAATGTCGGCGATCGAGATCCGGAAGTTTGCGGTATGAAAAAACCGTTAGGCTGGACGAGTTGGATGCCAACCCGGTGGTGTTTATCTCAAAATATCATTAGGCAAGAATACAAAAAAAGTGTTATCGTTGAAGAAAAGGTTTTCCCCCGGTTTTGCAAATCCAAATTTCCAACAAGGATTTATGGAAAAGACTTTTAGTATACTGGTTTCAAAATTGCTTAATAGTTTCAGATCAATCAAACATTCTTTAAGCTTAGGGCATTTAGTACTGAAAATGCGAGGTGGTTCAATTTGTGTGTCCGGGAGTGTATATTTTTTATGATATCAAGTGACGAGGCTAACAGGACATGCGCCTGGTGGTAAGAGACACGCCTATCCGTCATCCTTCACATAAAGTTGACAAGTCCCATGTGTCTGTAATATCACCAGCACTTTTAACCCTTGAAAACCGGAACGCAGCGTGTCGCTTACCAACAGGCGCACGGCTTGTTAGTCCCGTCACTTGGTATAATAAAAAAAAAACAAATACTAGTTTAATCCGCTCTTTAGCTCTAGGCTGTAATAATATTGCCATTTCAGCTTTGGGCTGTAAAAATATTGTCATCTCCGCTCTGGATTGTAGAAATATTACAATCTATTTCTCTAATTTAAAAGGGACAACAATATTTTTAGATTGACGGATTAGATTAAGTTATTGCAGTCACAATCTGTCACCGTTAGACACATAAGCATTAGTAAATACATACAAACAATAATAAATGTTTTCTTCCTAATTTAGGTTCGTTAATAAAGCCTTTATTCCCAAAAACTTTCGCTTTTAAGGAGATCAAAATTAATAAAAACATAAACAATATCAAAGCCTTTTTTAACTATTAATAAGGCACCGTTTTATCGTTACTTCGTCAAGGAACAAACTTTCAGTTCGATATAAAAACACCTCTATTAATTTGTTAGTTAAACAATTACCTTAAATTTATTATGCCTAGAACAATATATCTATAAATATCTCCAACTTATCTGTGAGATGGCGACAAAAGGAACTAACGGTACCACGTTGGAAACTTCAAATGAACTATCAATTATAGGCAACACCACGTAGACACTTGCGACACCAACCATATCACAGATAAGTTTGTGACTCTGTAGAGCCTGCAGGTAAAAAAATATAGCTGTGTTTTGTTCAAAATTATAATTAACATTTAAAACTTACGCTGTGAAACTTGAACACGACTCTGAAATTTAAAAAAGAATTGAATTAGGTACCTAATATAATACCAGTGAGATAATGTGAGGTATACCACAGTATCACAACCTTACAATAGTGCCACACCTTTATTTGATGTTTGGCGATACCGCAGGTCATGTCATACGCTAATACGTACGCTGTCATACGCAAATATGCAAGAATTGTCAAGTCCCGTATGCCTGTAATTTCACCAGCACCCTTCAAAGTCTGAAAGCAGTACTGCTTAGCGGCAGAAATAGGTAAGGTAGCAGTACTTCCCTGGACGAATTCTTTAATAAAGAGCTCTACTGCTACAAAAGGGTTGTCACGAAAAGGGAAAAAAAAGTTGTGATTATTATGACAACGTAAACAATTTGTTAATTATTAACAACAATAGAAAAGTAATAATGATTTACATGTGTTGCACTGCCAAGTATTTACGTGACACTTTATTTTGGATGTTTTCAGTTTTCTATTATTAAATTTCTCTATATATTACAATGTGTTCATGTTCATATAAACAAATCAATTAAAAAAATTGGGGAGTATAAGCACAGCCTTTATAAATTTTGATTACTTTACATGGTAAGTCGAATAATTTATTCAAAATCTTGTTTCCAACAAACGAACGGAAATTCAGCAATCTAACCGAAATTCTTAAATATGTTAATATACAGTTCGTATCCACTATTATGCAAGCATACAACGATCTCTCTCAACGTATTAAAAAATATTTCAAATCAAGCACACGTCAGCCCTTGATTGATCCCACTAATTATGCGTGTTTGCTGATTGCGGCCCGCTTCCCCGCGAATACCCCGCCGTTGCCCTGCGCAAGTACATACATTCCCTTACGGTATGGTTTGTTAAACTGTGATCACACTTAGGCCCAATATCCACGGAATGTTTCGGCATTCCTACATGCAAGCGCACACTGACGGCATGCCGAAGCAGTCCGTCGCGACATCGTGCTCGCGCCTTGCCTCTCTTCATACCTCTGCCTCCCTCACCCCGCGTATCTCCCGAAGAGCGCCGAAGCACCTGCCGAGGCTTTCCTTGGCATTGCAGCAACGACTATCATCATTAGAATTTCAACTATAACGACATAACTTTAAGGTATAATACCTCTCGTCACCTAAAAATCCGTCCAGTCAGTGGGCGCCGGGCCCTACCGTTCCTTAGTCAAATTTACCGTTACTTAGTCAACATTTACCATTACTTAGTCTACACTTATCGCAACTTAGTCAACACTTACCTTACAGCTCTTCATAGAAAGCAACTCTAGTCTTTGTCGATCCTTGTTTCAGTCTCTTCAACGTAGAGTATTTGTTATCACCAGCGCGGGCCTGGGCCTCATGTAGACGGTCTAAGGTCGCTGCTGTGTGGTCGACGCGGAGGACAGAGAACTCGCACCGCAGCTCATCTAGTTGCTGCTGAAGATGCTTTGATTTTGCTAAATATTCCACTCTGGAAGGGTATAAGTTTGATTAATAATAACTGCACCACCATATCTCGATACCTCACTAATAAATTTTTGGACTTGATCTGTTTTTATTTTGTTTTTGTTTCTTTTTTTCACATAATTAGTTTTTTGTTTTATTTTTTTCGAATTTTGGTTTTTGTTTCTTTATTTTTTTTCACCCAATTCGGGGAGCATATTATTAGTAAATGAATATGGTTGTTTACAAAATTAACAGAAAATGTACTGTTCATTGGAGATATCGACCTGTGATAGATCGTTTACGGGCACCTGTGCAAATGTTTCCAGCTTCATTTCCAGCAGTGGAGCAGTACCAATTTAAAACGTGCATTTAATGGATAAAACTATTTTTAAAATAACGTTGAAATTAGTAGTCAGTCTCTATTCAACCCCCTGAGTCCTTTTAGACTACATTCGACAAATCCTCTCTCTTCCGACGCCTTTGTGACCCAGGACATAGCATTGCATATATTATATATACGAGTCGCTGTCATTAGGCATGAATGGGGTAATAGTTTATTTCAATTCACCTCCTTGAGTAGCTTTTGATCCCACCGTACAAATCGAAAGTCACTTTTCCTTGGCAATTTCAAAACATTGTGTAAATGATATATTTGGTAAATGGGTCAATTCTCGTTCTCCGTCCGAAACAATTACTGTCAAAGAAACACTCGTCCAAGTTAAAAAATAATGTCAATTTTTTTTATAATATCAAGTGACGAGACGAACAAGTCGTGCGCCTGATGGTAAGCTACACGCCTGTCCATAACAGTTGCAGAGCCACTCACGAAATCAAGTCGCAAAGATCTAAAGGGCACTACCACTGCGCCCGTCACCCTGAGACATAAGTTAACAAGTCCCATGCGCCTGTAATTTCACCAGCACCAGCACTTCAAAACCGGAACACAGTAATGTTAACATTGCTGCTTGGCAGCAGAAATAGGTAAGGTGGCAAAACTTCCCTGGACGAACTCTCACGAACAAGGAGCTCTACTGCTTACAATTATGAAGTTTCATTCGCATCATGCATCTTTTGATCGAGTATTACTTATTTGACAGTAATTGTTTCGGGCGGATGTCGGATGGTGAACGAGAGTACAGAGCCAGGTACGAGCAATGTTGTAATAGTTTGTCTCTGTTCACCCCTAAGTGTTGGTCTCTATTCACCCCCCAAGTCTTTCAATTCCATTGGACAAATCGAGACTCACCGTTCCTTCTCAATCTCAAGACTGAGCCTGTGTATGTGCGGGTCGCTATCGTCAGGCACAAGCTGGTACGAGTTGAGCTCCGTCTCCGGCGTGGCCGCCGTGCCGTTGGGCAGCGCGTCTACACCTAGCTCAGCGGGCAGGGAACATGTTGATGGGAACAGGCTGGAGGGAACCGTCGATGGCTGGAAATAAAAACATACAATTATTTATTTATTAAGATACACCATCAACTTATCACGAAACAATCTTAGAAATTCTTTGGAACGCACTTCCAATTACTGTTCACGAAAGTATATCGTTAGCTACTTTTACATTGAGAGTTAATGAGCATTATTTATCTACTGTTCCATCCATTTTATAGGTATTATATTATGAAATGGTATTATTTATGTAGTTTACAATAGTTTAATGTTATTAATATTGTATTACAAATTATTAACATTAAACTTATTGCACATTTTGTTTTTTGTGCACGTAAGCCCGTGATGGTAGTTATTTTGTCCTGCATCAAGGTCTGCTGGAAGAAATTTCTTACAGAAATAAGCAGTACCTTTTGTTTATGTTTTCCTCTTATTAAATGTAATTTATGCTTTTTCCTGTGCAATAAATAAAAAAAAATATATACATACTTTGAAGCCGTGGTAGCCTAATGGTTTGACCTACTGCCTCTCAAGCAGAAGGTCGTGGGTTCGAATCCGGGCTCGCACCTCTGAGTTTCTCGGAATTTATGTGCGAAATTTAATTTGAAATTTATCATGAGCTTTTCGGTGAAGGAAAACATCGTAATGAACGACGATGGTACGAAGTAGCTACAGGTGTATACAGCACTATTCATTTAGAGTTAGCCAATGAACAAAAAATAATATAAAAGAAAAAAACATAATTAAAAAAGTAAAATTACAGTAGTGTTTTTTATATGAAAGATGTCACCGTCTCTGGTCACAGTCAAGTCATAGTATGACTGCAGGAGTTTATAAATTTACAATAAATTACCTAAATTAATAAAGGAAGAAAAAAGCGAAACAAAATTTATAAAAGCTTTAAAAACACTTTTAATAACTAAATGTTACTATACACTGCAAGAATATTTAAAAGATAAGAATAACATATCCAGTTAATTGCATAAATACAAATATTAAATAATTAGTACAGATACATTGAACAAAGTATTTAATATGAAAGAATTGTTAAACTTATATAATTTAAATAATGTAATTGTAAAATTAATAAGTACTGATTTTGAATTTTTAGATATTATATATTATGTATAGATTTATTGATTAGTTCAACTAATTGTGAATTCTCTAAATGAGTTATTTTATTTTGTGCTATGCCCTTACAGGGTCCGTAATGTAAAGACATTATGGTCTGTAATAAAGAATTGAGTATTGGGAGTCTTTTCAAAGAGGTATACCTTCGAGATTACTTCGGCTACTAGACACAACATGATTTGGCAATGGGGACCCTAGGCACTCTACGAGGAACGTTTAGTTTGATGAGGGTCAGCACCTCAGGCGACGATATACCTTTATGCACCGTCCTGTGCAGAGTTCCAATATCAGCAAATCGACGGTAACATTGGGGTCTTTATTTGCCAGAAAACGAGTAAAGTTCTTTGCATCCGTTCTATTCTTTCAGAATGAATTATATAATGTGGATTCCAGAGCAAGATTTGCATAAATGCCATCAGATATTCGTATTGTCTTTTTTGTCGCAGAAGGGGATTTTTTTTTTACTGTGTATTATTGTTGTGATTATACCACAGTATTACAATACACAGAAGCGCAACGTCTTTGATGTTCGGCGATACCGCCTCTCGTGTGTAGGCACTTACGAGTCATATGCAAATATGCAAGGGTTGTCACAAAAAGGAAAAAATATTAATTGTGATTTACGGTTACAATATTTTTTTACAATACCAAGTGACGAACATGGCCCCTGGTGGTAAGCGCCACGCCTGTTCTTTCATAGCGAAACCGGAACGCAGTATTACTTGACGGCAGAAGTAGGTAAGGTTGTACCTATCAGTTTGCTTAAAGTTACCGGTGGGAAAGACCCAGTAGAATTCCTGCTAAGGAAGGTCAAAAACTTCTCGTTAGCAGGTTTATATCAGTCTCAATAGTGACTAGCTGTTGTGCTTCAGCCGTGAATTTTTTTGACTAGAGTTAAAGAAAGTTGATAAATAAGGGTCATCCATCCCTGGCAACTCATCAGGAAAGGACATCACAAATTAGAAAACTGAAATAGTACAGCGCCAACAACTGACCTGTATTTATTTTAATAAAGTTAATATCTGTAACTATTGGGGTCTGTTCCATTCGGTTGTGTGTCGTCGTTAAACTGGTTGATTTGAAGTGAAACAGTTGACGACACCCGTCAATTGTTTCGAATTCGGGCGGGCCAATCGGAGCGCAGTTGTCACAGTAATGATTTGGCAAAATAATTTTCAAACAAATTAAACGACATTTCGTCTCTATTTCTGGTTATATAATCGATGGTTGTACGTATTAGTTTGCGTAAACTTACCGGTGGCAAAGATCCAGTAGAATTCCTGCTAAGGAAGTTCAACAGCTTCTCTTTGGCGTTTTTCTCTGCGATCTTAGCAGCCACCAGTTCAGCTTTCAGACGTTCTGCTTCAGCCGCGCGCTTCTCAGACTCTTCGACCAGCCGAGCTGTTAAGAATTCTGCTTCACGCGTCTTACGTTCTAGGTGTACCTGAAAATATTAGTAATTAAATTGAAGGGAAAGTTGATAGGTCTGTACAAGTTTTCTTTTGACCGCTCTCAACTACGTAGTTCAACATTGTATTAATAGATGGCGCTTTAAAAGATTTCATCATTTAAGCACCATTTACCTTTTCTTCTTCTGTTTTGATGGCCGATAACCTCAACCGGGCGTTCTCTCTCTCAGCGTCGGCAGCCTTCTGCGCGAGCAACGAAGCTTCTTCTTCAGCCACTCTGCCTTTTTCAGCCAACAATTCTGCTGTTTCTTCTGAACGACGCTGGAAATTGTCATTGATTAGCTAGTGTAAACTTGATAAGCTGATGAAATGTTTTATTATGTATATTAAATACAAATGACAAACTTTGAAATAAACTTACTTTCTTTCTAAAAAAAAATATGTCCCTATTTGTATTTTTTATACAAATACTGCTAAATTTTGTGTACATGTATGTATACATTTTCAAAAATTATCAATTCAAATGAACCTATGCCCAGCAGTTGGACGAATAATGGGCTTATGTTCATTCAAATGAAACAAATTCGGCTATTTATTGCAGAACCATGACCTAGTTAGTAGTCGATAGAACATTTATCCACTGCAATCATTAGCCGCTTGCAAGCGGGCAACACTCGCGCAATGAACTGTCGTTCTACTCCATCTCCAAAAAGACAAACTATAATAGTTTGTTATTATTATTAATACAAAGAAAAGAGAGTGTATTTTAAAGTATTACATATAAATATGAATATAAATATGTTTAAGTATTTTATTGAATCTCAGGATGTTTCACTATCATGATATTACATTTTTTTGTGAAATTCGATGTCGAAATGTCGAACACTTAGAAAAATTCCTTCGATCCGGCCGGATTCGAACCGACTTCTTCTAGCAAACCGTGCGTGACGAATTTTTGTATGTGCTTGCGTCGTGTCTTTGTACTTGGTCTTTCAACGACTTTTTAGTCGTAGCGCCATCTATGAGAAATCTATGACAAATTTATCACCCAGTTAGTACCTTTACAGCTACCAGATCTGGCGAGAGATGTCGCTATTCACTGTATTAATTAAATTTTTATTGAATTGTATTCAATTATTTTTTGTGAAATTACTCCACTACTTTGTTATAATTATTAATACAAAGATCGAACACTCAGAAAAAACACTCAGACAAAATTCCTTCGATCCGGTCGGATTCGAACCGACGTCTTCTTGCATACCGTGCCAGACGCTATGCCAACTAAGCCACGGAACGAACCAGCGGACCTCACGAATCGTTCTACGTGCTTGTTTGTATCTGGCTTTTAACGACTTTTTAGCCGTAGCGCCGTCAATGAAAAATGTATAAAAGTATTTCGTCACGTATATATTTGTTTGTTTGCCTCACCAATGCCTCATTGGCGAGTCGTATTTCTTCCTGGTATTGCAACAGTCTTTGTTCCATGGCGGCTCTTTCCCGCTCTGCCGCTTCACGTAGTTGCTTCTCACGCGCCAATTTGTTACGTTCGATTTGTCGACGCTGAAAAGGACATCATGAGATTAGATTCTATACTAACTCATTAATGCAATACTGGGTACGGTCTTTCTCCTTTAAAGAGAGGGATTGTGTCATAGTCCGCTGTGATGACTCAATCAGGGTTGGAGATTTAACACATTTTTCGAAAGTTGTGACGATGTCTTTCTTCAACGTTTTTTTTTATTGACCAAAATACAGGAAAAATACTTATTTACTAATTACAAGCTTCGCTCACAAAAGCCCTTCCGGCTTTATCCGCGGCGACGGAGTTCAGTCTATTTAAGTAAAGATATAATATAATAGAGCAAAAATCTTAAAAAACTAAATTACTTCTAGACACGTACAAAAACATGCTCACTTACATGTGCATATAAATGGCATATTATAACAATTAAGCAATTTACAAAATAAAGTCTATCTTCAGTTTTCAAAAAATGTTTCTTAATTTTTATTATTTTATTTTATTTTATGTATGATATATGATATATATTTAATGTATGATTTATAGTGTTTGTTTTTTTTATAATTGCATATAAATTCCTCACTCATTTTGTTAATTAATCTAGGTAACAAATATTAAACACACATTAAAAACACTAATAACTAAGATATTTTTTTTTATAATATCAAGTGCCGAGACGAACAACTCGTGCGCCTGATGGTAAGTTAAGCCTGTCCATAACAGTTGCAGTGCCACTCAGAGCTTTAAATCGCTAAGATGTGCCCATCAACCTGAGAAATAAGTTGACAAGTCCCATGTGCCTGTAATTTCACCAGCACCCTTACCCTTCCAAACCGGAACGCAGTAATGCTTACATTACTGCTTGGCGGCAGAAATAGGTAAGGTGGCAGTACTTCCCTGGACGAACCCTTTCACATGGAACTCTACTACTGCTATCACAAGAAACTATTACTACTTTCGTACAAAAATAAATAAAAATAAAATATTTAAATAGATCGCTCTAAACGGTTATAACTGTGTGCGGTAACCATTGACTTACAAATAAATGGACGACGGGTCTAATACAAAAACCACGTAAAGAATGTCCCAAGTCAACCTATTTAAACGTAGTGACATGTAAAGGAATATGAAAAAGCTAAAACGTTGAATTTAAATTCTAACGTCATCGCAGTACTGTCTAATTTTGCTTGCTTCGCTGTCAGTCGAACAAACGAAGACTAAAGCGTGAATGACGCTCTGTATACGATTTTAACGCCCTATAAGTTCGGACACTTTTTAGCGCGGACCCGACGTCCATATAATTGTAAGTCAATGGCGGTAACAAAAGAAAGC